CGTAAAATCACACCCCCTGCACGACGCTACTGGTATTTATGGGACACGTGTGGTATCACGTTGTACCCTTTAAAAGGGAAACAATATGACAGCTACTTACATATCATCGCACGAATTCGTTCAAAATTCGAACAGACGAGTTCGAATATCAAACTTAGCCTCGCATTCAATTATTGCTGCCCGGTGTGCATTGTAATATTACAGATCTATGTAAATAAGCGTCACGTGCAGAGGCACGGCGAGTCAGTGTACACGGGGTGCATTGCAACCGAGCTTTGTCGGAAATGCTTCCGGCGTGATCAGCAAATTTCAAAGCAAGTGCCCGTTTTCCGGGGCCCGCTTTAATGGTCACAGATACGTAACCACGGTTTGGTGCAGCCATATTACAACGAAAGTGTTGCGCTTCGCGCCAGTAATCACCTTCGATGGTATCATTTTCACCGTGAATATTACGTTTCTCCGGGTTCCGTGTTATTTTTCTGCGGTCAGGAAAATAACAATTTTTCCAATTATACAAATTTTCTCTTACTAGTAATTTCAAATACAAGAGATTTATCGTGATCAAACTAGAGCTATAGGGGTTCAATTCACCCCCTCCCCAAAAATGTATAATACATTATAAATGACCCGAAGCAACGCAATTATTTCGCAAATTTCAAGGTACAGCTCGAATTTAAACGCGACGCAGAAAAATTTATATAAACACCACTCGCCCTTATCGTAAATTTAAATCCCCAGCCTCCCCCGAAAAATACATTACCCAACTTTAATCATAAATTACAGAAATTCGTACACGTCGCAACTGCGATATATAAATTGTAAAAGTCTCAGCCACAGCTCGTGACGAGAAATATGATACACCATAGTCGGAGGATCTTCCGGGGGTACGATACGTCGTACCCTCGGTGTCAGACATCCAATTAACCTAATCCGGTGATTAGCCATGGTCATAGCTGGAACGAAATAGCGAGATATAAATTTTATCCGGAGAATTATGATTACCAGCCGGAATTCTTCGGCAAGTCGAGCTTTTCAGCCAGCTCTCGGCTCGTCGCCGAGCTTTTACACGCTTGTCGGTGGTAACAATTTTCAACGAGCGAGAGCCGCTCATCCCCTTCGTCGACTGCAATTTCCTTTCTTCCTCGCTTCCGTGTCTTTTGCTATTTCTCCTGTCCCCTCGTATTCATTTTTCCCTCCATCTTATCTGCTCGCGTCGCCGGCCTGAGGAAAATAAGATTCGCTCGTGTAATGTTCTTTCATTCGATTCTTCTTTTTTCCTCCTCCGTGCTTTTCCCTCTTTTTCCCCCGTCCTCTGGAGTCCCTTTGGAGCCGCGTATCGTGGAAAACTCGTTGCCTGGATCGCTTCTGCGATAGATTTCACGCATACGAATGACGGATGCAATATTTATCAGGCTTGATTAAACTCGAGTAACGACGTCGAATTTTCGTCCGTCGAAGAATTCGAGGAATTTTTCCTGCGGGGGGAGACGTAAGCTGGACGAAGCTGATGGAACTCGAAAGGGGTGGTTCGAGGACAGGAATGAGGGAATTTCACGTTGGTATACGAACAACTAGCGTGAAGGTAAATCACGACATCAGCAAATTGAGAGCTTATGAAATTTTTAGGAAAAATTTGTTCGAATATAATGATTCCTGTATCATTGTCTCTACTGATTTATTCTTACACGTTAGACTGCTAATTCGTCGATTTCACGATAGATAAATGAACAAGGAATAAAAGTCGTGTCTACTTGTCATAAAAATTAATTTTCCATAATTTTCCTGTACACGTTAGGCTGCTAATTAGTCAATTTCACGATAGATCAATAAACATGGAATAAAACTCGTGTTTAATTGTTATAGAAATTAATTTACCACTATTAATTTTCCATAATTTTCCTGTACACGTTAGATCGTGCTAATTCGTCAATTTCACGATAGATAAATGAACAAGGAATAAAAGTCGTGTCTACTTGTCATAAAAATTAATTTTCCATAATTTTCCTGTACACGTTAGGCTGCTAATTAGTCAATTTCACGATAGATCAATAAACATGGAATAAAACTCGTGTTTAATTGTTATAAAAATTAATTTCCCACTATTAATTTTCCATAATTTTCCTGTACACGTTAGATCGTGCTAATTCGTCAATTTCACGATAGATAAATGAACAAGGAATAAAAGTCGTGTCTACTTGTCATAAAAATTAATTTTCCATAATTTTCCTGTACACGTTAGGCTGCTAATTAGTCAATTTCACGATAGATCAATAAACATGGAATAAAACTCGTGTTTAATTGTTATAGAAATTAATTTACCACTATTAATTTTCCATAATTTTCCTGTACGATAGATAAATGAATAAGGAATAAAAGTCGTGTCTATTTATTATAAAAATTAATTTTCCGTAATTTTCCTGTACACTTTAGACTGTGCCAATTCGTCAATTTCATGATAAATCAATAAATAAGGAATAAAACTCGTGTCTACTTGTTATAAAAATTAATTTCCCACTAATAATTTTCCCTAATTTTCCTGTACACGTTTGACTGTGCTAATTCGTCAATTTCACGATAGATCAATAAACAAGGAATAAAACTCCTGTTTACTTGTTATAAAAATTAAATTACCATTATTAATTTTCCATAATTTTCCTGTTAATAGCAATCTACTCGAATTCGACACCCCTACGAATCGTCGAGTGTGTCCATTACACCCACGACCAGCGACGTAGCTCGTTCACCCCCAAAAGAAAGATGGCCACTCGTAGGAAGATTACGGGACGATTAGGCTCGCCGGAGGTTTCGCTAGAAACAGCTATTATTTTCACAGGGCACGTCGTGTCCCGGCGTTAATTCAAGAGTCGCTGAACTTTTTTCCCGCCGGTTTTCCGGTGCTCATTGCGCGAGTAGGAAACTCGAGGTTTCGAGCCTGGTGGAAAGGTGAAAAGGAAAAATAGTTGGCCGGGGGGATAATGGACTTTAAGCGGGGCTCGTGAGTTTTTAATTAACGTGGAATTAACGGGGGCTCGAGAGCGTCAGGCCGAATAATCGGGCATAGTTCGAGCCCTTTCGAACAAGCCCGTCTTGGGAGATAGTGCGTTCAACCCTGTCCGAGTGTGTAATGGAAGGATCGTGAATGGCAGATAATGAGGAAAATTGGTGCAATGTACGTGGATGTAAATGTTTCGTAAGGGAGATATTGTGTGATAAAGCTGAGCGAGATAGTTCGGATTAAGGAGAAATTTTTAAGTGATACGTAAGTGGGTAAGAGCGGCAGGTATCCTGGAAGGACAGCGAGATTAGGATAATGAGAACGTGGACAAGATGATTTTGATTAAACGAAGATATTAATCTTATCTTTTAAAATATATTAACAACGTGATTTTCTTTTTTATCTATTAAATTAAATATTTCATTAAATCTTGGGACAAAATTGAATTAAAAGGAAGTGAAAAAATTAAAATATTTTCTATTAGTCGATGATCTAAAATTTGTCTATGATACGTATTAATTAATGATGTTACTTATTCTGACTAAATTTGTGTTCTTTAAATTGGATATTAAATTTTTGTTAGAAGAAAAAATAATAACAAAAATGTTGATCTTCGGTAATAAAATTTCAGAGTTACGTTATAAGAGAATTTAGAAAATTTTATTTCTACGAGGATGAGATATTTAAAAGAAATTTGGGTTTACATAGTTCGAGATATCTTGAATTTCTATATTAGTAGTAGAGTTATGGTGTTAGGTCAACATAACTTAGCTAACTTTTCCGCAACGTGATACAGAATCGATTTTGACAAAATACATAGAATCCAGGGTACTTGCTGAATTTGAAGTAAAATGAGAATCCGAATGGCCAGTGTACTTGTGAAAAACGTACTGGAATTACGAAGTTTTGAGTGATCGAGCAAAATAGTACTTGGAGTGGGCTCAATGTACTCATGAAATACGTATTGGGATCGCGAAATTTTAAGTGTTCGAATAAAATAGAATTTTAAACGATCCGAGTGGAGAACTTTATTGAAACCGTGAAATTTCCAATAATTAAGCAAAATGGTACCTGGAGTAGTTTATATGGCGGGAAAAATAAAAAATCGGCCGTATTCCCGCGGAATGAAAATAATTAAAATAACAATTTATTCGGTGCAAATGTTCGTTTTAATTTACATTTTAATTTTCGTTCCTGCATTTGAAACTCGTATACTCGTAGCTGGATAATTGCTGGATATTTATACGTAATACATTTAACTGTAGCTGAATAAGAGCTGAAAATATGATAACGTTAATAGTAATGAAAATTCTATTACGCTGAAGGAAATACGATACGTTACATGACAGAGAAGTTGCAATTTCCTTCTTCTGGGGCAAATAGATTTTATTACGGAAAATAACGAAGCTTTTGCAATTTATAGAAAAGCACGATAGAACGTATGGAGTGTGTAAAAATGGAATACCGTGAAATGAAAATAGAATATAATTTTATCGAGACGAAAATATAAAGTACTCGAGGAAAATAACACATTGAACCTAAACTAAATTTATCAAACTACCTTTTCAATAAATATGATAAAAAATAAGTGGAATTAAAGCATCGCGTATATTACAGAAAATAGCATAAAAGTTATAAGTTTTCTCTTTAAAGTAATATAATTAAAAACGAAAATTAGGACGTATAAAATAATTCTAAAAATTAGACAATCTATTAGAGTATTTAAAAATATTTTATCAGTATTAATGACATACTGACATCCAATAGTAAATCAAAAATTGGCAGCTAATTAAAAATTGAAAAAGTAATCTTTTAATTTAATCCTAACGTGTTGCAAATGACAACTTTAATAAAAATAATATAAATTCGTTCGAGCACAACCCTCCCTCTATTTATAATAAATCATTTTTATTATTCGAGATACCCTCGAATACAAAACAAGCAATTATAATTGTAAATATCTTTTGCGATAATTTATATAACCTGGTGATATTTCACATTACAGGTGATTCCACACAACTGGACCTAGATGGATTGTTGTACATCGGCGGTGTGGGGGCTCCATTTGCACCCCTAACAGTTCCTCCGGTACTGTGGACAGGTGCCTTGAGACAGGGTTACGTCGGATGCATGAGGGATCTTGTCATAAACCGGCAACAAATCGATATAGCTGGATATGCTCAACAGCAGGACTCGGGTAAGGAAATGATACATACTTTATGATAATACTCGAACGTGACTGACAATGGGATTGTCGATCCTGGAAGTATTGTTTTTGCAAAATCTGAACCTCGAATATCGTATCAGAACAAAATTTATCTTAGCAAAATACTTATCTCTTGATAGAAGAATTTACACTATGGTGAGATAATAATTTGAAAAGTAGTTTATCACCTCAATATTGTTCCACGAACAATATACACGTATGATAATAACAAAATAATAATAATTCGCCATGTAATATAATTTTTGAAAGCCCAGTATTTAAAATTTAAAAAAATGCAAAAATGTTTGGTATAAAAATGATTATCCTTAATGAAACGATGTAAGAGGTATATAAAATCTAGGGGTAAGCTAGTTACCTTTTGTAACAACCCTATTTTCTTGAATACACGTGATACATAAGTTTTTATAACGATGTTCTATTTTATGCAAAATAGCTGCAAAATGTTGACCTAAATTGTAGCTTTCTACGTTGCACTAGTATGTACCATGTTTACCATGTGCTTGATACTATCTCGTACAAGAAACGTGTTTACTGCCACGGTACAATAGTTTCGCAACATGCAAAACTGAAAAGGTAAATACTCGACCGAAACATACGTTAATTAATATGTATATGCGTACATATCCGTATAATTTAATTCAATTAATATATATACGGAAATATTTGCACGCTGTTTGCTCGTTAAAGGAAAAGAGAGGTAACGCGAAAATGTTGGAAACCAGGTGACGAATAAATTGGTGGAAAATAAAATGGTACAACGGCAATTATAATATTAATATTTTGCTATTTTATTTTTGGCAAAATGTCGTTTTACGATAGGAAAGCGTGGATTAAAATTGAGAATATTGACAATCGGTGTTTAGGGGTGGAAAAAATGTTTTCGCTGCGGACAGGATTCGAACCTGTGCGGGCATACTACCCATCAGATTTCGAGTCTGACTCCTTTACCACTCGGACACCACAGCTGCTAGGAATGCCTGGTTTCGTTCCAACTTCTCCTCTACTTTAATGTCATTAACAATCGTATATTTTATATAAATATTATCTATTACCATTTTTATTATCTTAGAATTGAATAGGTTAAAAGTATCAGAAATAATTTCAGATTAAAAAGGATGTGATAAAAATTAGATTGACCAAATATCACGTTAGGTGCTTACAGAAAAATATGCAGAAAATAATTCGTGTTTTAAATCAATTTTTCTTTGTGTCTTTTTTAATTAAATACACTCAAATTTTTGTCTCTTAATTTCGAAGCTTAAATAGGAGTTTTGATAAGAATAAATGAATGAAGTGAGAAAATAAAGCGAAATAAAATAAAATACAAGAGAATGTGGAACGAAACGAGGAGAATAAAGTACTTTTTGATAATAAAAGATTATGTTAGGTGCTTACAGAAAAATATGCAGAAAATAATTCGTGTTTTAAATAAATTTTCCTTTGTGTCATTTTTAATTAAATACACACAAATTTTTGTCTGTTAATTTCGAAGCTCAAATAGAAGTTTTGATAGTAATAAATGAACGAAGTATGAAAATAAAGCGAAATAAAATAATATACAAGAGAATGTGGAACAAAGAGAAGAGATTAAAGTGCTTTTCGATAATAAAGGAGTGGAATTGCAAAATGGTCTGATCTTGTTTGAACAAATTTTTACAGACATGTCTGTTCGCGAGTATGAAAGAGTTCGAATAATTTAACAAACGATTTAAAGCAAAATCGATTACGTGGATCGGTAAGTCGAATAATGCACTCGAATTTACCACGCACATCGAGCTCGCAATCAGTGGATATTAAAAAAGGGATCCACCACGCTTTTAATTTTCATATTTAAATTTACGATCCGAATATTCGAACTTTATTCCGTAATTTAAATTTTTAAACTCAAATTCAATTCAACCGCGATCATATATTTTCACTCGTTGCGATAATTCGGTTACTTAACGCGTTGCAGTCGAATTTTGAAATATCTCTCGTTTCGTGTTACGTCATTGGGGAGCATCGCCGAAACATTTCATATTTCCCATACGTCAGTCAAGTACACTTATGAAATAACTGGCTGCTGGTACGATTAATAATTAAAAGCTTCGTCCGCGATGTGTTAACCACTCGAATTTTTCACGTGTCCACGACCTCTTCTGCTTCACGTTACATAACGTTCCGTCCACCTAGAGACATTACCTCGTGCTCATTAAATCGCATGAACGAAACGACAATTATGCTCTTCCCGGCTGTTCTCCGTCTTGACAAAGGTGTTCCATTTCACTGCGACGAAAAACTCGAACAGGGAGCAATCGTCACTGTCCCCGTAATTTCGTTCCTCTGGACAATTTTGCAGGAGCTGTCAGGCCGGCTTGTCACTCTCAACCACCCCACTGTCCCTCGCAACCCTGCATGCACGGCAGCTACTGTATCGAGGGATGGAACAGGTTTCACTGCGACTGCACAAGGACGCCATTCACGGGGCCTACTTGTGGCAAAGGTAAGGATTCTCGCGTATTGTAATGTCCCCTTTAGCGTTTCAGACTATGTAGAAGATTATCTGATAGGGTGACTTTGAAGATTTCGTGGAAGGAGGAGGAAGATGTATAAGCGATTCGAAATAAAATTAGTTAAGACAAAAATACGAGTAATTTAGGATATTTATAGTTGAACCTTAGCAAATGGAATAGATTCCTTCGTTGTTAGGTACAGTTTATGAAAAATTCGAGATCATTAACCCTTTGCAATTTCAGCAGAGAAAATTTAGCGTTTCGCAGTTACTTTTCGGTGCAGGATTTAAAGTCGATATATGGATATTAAAACGCACGGAATTTGTCGAAACTGATTTGAATTTAATATTACTTATAGTACGTAAATATACCAAATTTTTAGTTTCTCTAATTTTCTGTAGTTTTCTGTATTTTTCAACTTGCGAATATCCCCCCAAAGGGTTAAAATATCCTAGATGCGAAGATATTAGACAAAATTAATCGATTGCAAATTGGTAGCCGTTTAGTTAATGAGCTAAATTAAAGTTAGCCAATATTTTTTCCCATTTTGTCACTTAGAGTTGTTAGCAAAACGGTAGTTTTAGTCTTTTAATTTCTATCATTATGAATTATGAAGTGAAATTATATTTCTATCTCGAGAAATAGACTTTAATTTTGTCAGAAGTAATTATATATTCCCAATAATTTTAGAGATGAAGTTCTAAAATAGTCATTTTATGTGATTTCTGCTATTAAATATTCAGAGTTAGAGCTGCAGAATTTTCTGAATTTTTGGACTTCGCGGATATCGTTTAAATTGTCATTGGAACCAATTATAGGAGTGGATAATAAATTAATATCGACGTATTAGCGATTCGAAGAATGGTAAAAATTGGAGGAGACGTTAAAACGGAAATCCGGACGTTTATGCGGGCATTGCTGTAAATGTCGCATGGCGTTGGCATAATTCGATCGAACGGAAGAGGAGGAAGAGGATTGTTTCGCGTTAGCGTGTAAAATTATGCTTATTTATTAATACGTCTCGTAATTACATCCCTGATTAAAATTTTGAGTCCGGCGATGGAGTTTTAATCATGGCATTTAAATTACGCGTACATCGAGTTAGCCGTGCAACGTAATAATCCTGCAAGATAATAGGATAATGCATTGTAATGTAATATTATTACAGGAGTAATGGCGGCACATTTAAGTAGTTTTATGCTTGAAGCATTAATTAGTTCTCGTGCTTGAGTTTTATTTTGTATTTGTTATTATCTTTGGTACAATGTTATTACTGGATTTGTGTATTCGTTGTCGTGAAACGAATTTACGTGTATTATGTCGTTGTAGGGGTATGCTTGCTATAATTGCATCAGATATTTCTATACTCTTGCATTTTAATTTTGACAGTACTATTTTTTGCTTCGCAATTTCAATTTTGGTGGTAAAAATTTTAATATGTATCGAAAATATAGATAGTGAGAATGAAAACAAAAATGTCGAATTTAACTGTATATGAAATTGCAAAAAAGTTTTCTTTTTTTTTTTAATATGTTTTGGAACAACGTGTTTGTCTACAATTGTACTTACCCCTTAATTAGAAACTCGGCAAGTGCTGTGTTAATTTATTTAATTTACACTGCTGCGTTCCTCACTACGTGCACATAGTTAACAAGCTTTGTAATGATATTATCCTCCAAGTCCCTTATATGTATTTTAATTAAAATAACAATTTAACACTCGCATTAGTTACGTCGCACATGCTTGATCTTTAAATTTAAACGTACTTTACTTTAGCAATTTAATCCGTTTCTTATTTCCTGGAATATTGGTTTCGTTGCTTCCATCTCGAATGTTACATTCGTTTCATAATAAAATCTTTTAACTGGAAGTTTGTTCGAATAAATACAATCTGCTTTAAATTTAGCTTCGCTGAACTTCATTAAATTACCGAGTCATTTATCGCATTCGATGAATTATATTTTACTTTACATACGAGTTATAGTACAATTAGAAACATATTTCCACGAGCAAACTCATCGTTATCTGTTATCTTAATTTATCGTTTCGCAGGGTTGTTAATTAATCTTCTTATCAGACTCTTTTACGTGCAATATAAATATCGACTAATATTTATGAAACTGCGCTCGAATTTTTGCATTTCGTGCATTGTTTTCGAGGTTATAATTATTTGAAGTTAATGGTTTCCTGTGCTGTTTACTTTACCTATTGTTTTCTCTTATTTTTTTAATAGCTTACATTTGTGATGAAAAATTATATTTTTGCATTTCCTCGAGATCCATGAAATTGCAATTGTTTAATATTTTAAGCGAATATTTCACCCATTTTCTATCATCCTTTTTGTTTACATATCTACTAATTAAATATCGTATAGATCATATTATATCATACATTATTAACATTCGGATTGTTAGGCTTTCTATTTTTTGAAGTTAATTATTTAAAGTTAGTGGTTTCCTGTGCTATTTACTTTACCTATTTTTTTCTTTTATTTTTTTAATAGCTTCCATTTGTTATAAAAAATTATATTTTTGCATTTCCTCGAGACCCATAAAATTGCAATTGTTTAATATTTTAAGTGAATATTTCACCCATTTTCTATCACCCTCCTTTCTATTTACATATCTATTAATTAAATATCGTAAATAAATATCGTAATATAAATATCGTAAATATTATTAAATATATATTAAATAATATTAATTAAAATATCGTGTAAATCATATTATATCATACATTATTAACATTCGAATTGTTAGACATTCTATTTTTCAAACCCTTCCAATTACTATAAATATGCAGCTACTATCTGCAAAATTAATGTCAACTTTCAGTCCGATAAGACCGTCATTATATATCCCTAGATATTTCCATCGTCCAACTTTAACGTCCCCTAAACGTCCAGCCTGTGAGTGTCAGGAACTGTCCTGACCCAGGCACATTGTCCAACTCGCGACTGTCACAGCCACGTGATCTGGCAAATTCCAAGTACACTTTTGATTCTCACCCAGCAACGAGTTTCTCCTAACCATCAACGAATAACAAAAATCCTAATAATTTATTCGCAATTCGAACAATTTTATCCTAACAATTTTATCCTTTGTCCAGACGCATCGACGCTGCACCTGAACGGAACACAGCAGATGACAGCGCTGATGCCAGAGGACTCGAAGACCCAGACCGAGGAAATAGCGATCCGCTTCAAAACGTCCAGGCCACGTGGTCTGCTGCTGTCCACGAGTTTGGAGAACAGCCCGGATCGGTTGCAAATCTACCTGGAGGAAGGCAAAGCGAAGATGCTGATCCACATCGGGGACAAGGAAAAGGTGAGTCGAGCCCGCAATTCTCTAAATCTCGTGGGTGCTTCGTGAACGCTGCAACCCAGATTTCCTCCTCGAAACGGAATTACGATAGGGGTCGAACAAAGTAGAACGAGAAGCTGGATATTTTTTCAGACTTTCACGAGCTCGGTACTTATAAACTTCTTAGTTAATAATGCTATTTTTCGTAGAGACGGCCCGGCATTTCCCCCGGCCTCATTAGAGATCTGAGAATACCGCGATACTGTGCGGTGCATACCGGGTAACAAAGTAGAATACTGTAAAAGAATATTGCGTTACATAAAGCCTCTTACCTCGTTTTACCAGCGAGTATGCTTGTTTCTCTGACCGCAGTCCTGCCAACAGCGTAATATTCATGGGTTCGCTGAAGGAGCAGTTAAGGGATCCCGGCCTAAAGCCTTTCAACGCGTTCTGCTCTTTTAGCTACGCGGAATTTGAACGTCCTTGGTAATTTATTTGGTCGCGAAACTCGCGGTTAGAGAACAAACGGGGGATTCGCCGTTGTCGGATTTAGACCGGTATTTTTGGGTCTTGCGTGGAAATGGCAACGACTTCGTGTCAGGAATATGTGTCACTGCTCCAGAGAGATATTCGGAAACTTGAGCGTCGATATCTATTCGCGGAGTTGCTCGTAGCGTGGGATATCTAGATAGACTGAACAATTCTATGCAGGAAAAATTCGAGAAAATTCTGAAAATTATTTTCCCCCAAAAATATTCTTTCATAGGAAATCAGCCTCTGCCAGTGGAGCTGTCAACTATTCTCTGCGACCTTTACTCCGTGAGAATTATCCTGAAATAAACGTGACGTCAATTATTACGGGAATGGTCCATACGTCATTCAATGAAGCTGTTTTTTTAACAAGTTGCTGCTATTTTATGTTATACTACTGAAAATACCGATATTACTTTCCAGTCGGTCTAATTTAAGACACTTCTCCGTGCAATCTGCCTGGCATCTCGACCTCTGGACTCGATATGGCATCGGGAATCGAAGTGAGAGTAGAATATTATTAATTTGGAATTTGTTCGTCTGGAACTTTAACAGCAATGCTCGAAACATCGGCTTCGGGGGTAAATTGAAATCCGCGGAGGTCGCGGGGCGCGATAACGCATGAAAATTCGAACGACCTTGCTCATCCAGGGCACGATCATAATTCATCGATTCATTCGGCCCGTTTTTCCGCGACAGAATAAATTGACTGTAAAAATTCAAATCGAACGAAAATAGACGCCGGCCGATAGAGCGACGTGTATTCATAATTCATGGCTTGCCCGAAGGTTCAAGTTCTTTGGTGGAAGGTGCTGGTTTGGGAAGACGCGAGGCATTGCCTTCATTCATATAATATTGCTTTAGAATCGGGAAATAATAGTTCGATGTGCTTGGTAGATTCATTTTGTGCTAAAAATTTGGAAGAATTGAGCAAAGTTTGATTAAAAGAAGAATTTCTAATGGGATAGAATTATTTCGACTTTTCTAAATTAATTGGAACAATGTAAGGGATGTTTCCAAGTAGTTAATTACTCAAAAGGAGGGAAAAGATAGGCAAGAAATATGCAAGTCAATTCGATAATTATTAAAACCTAATTGTGTACAAAATTATATTATTACTTTATATTAATAATTAAGTAAAGTATTTTTATAAATACTTTTTTTTATATATATACTATTAACTATTTTTA